CAGTGTCGTCGTCACTTGCTGTTAAATAATTTTTAATAATAATTTTAAATTATATTGATATTTTATCTTTTATTGTGTCCTACATATCTGCTACTTTTTTCTGCTCACAAAGTTATGCCTGGAAGAGTTACTAAAAAATGCAATTATCTGATTCTACTTAATTACGACGCTATCGAACGCAATTTTGTCATATGATATGTATCGTGCGTTACATAACACTTACATGCAGTAAAAATGCAGGAGTACATTTTATGTTGTTTCTTTATTCTTCTTGCTAAATGTATAATTATATTATGTCAGAATGATTTATTTACGTAATATTTTATATTACTTTGCAAGTGAAATAATTAAATTATTTTAGTTCGAGAAGAATGTATTAAGTAATTAATTTCGAAGCATAATCAGTTTTAATTCACACATTCATTATCTTTGATTCAGTATAATTACTTAATTAGGCGCGAGATCATTATGCTACCATTATTTACAGTAAACAGGTGAAAAATCTATTCTGTTCCACGAGAAAGTTATTTCGATCTGCACATCTAAAGTCCACTTAAAGCGATCTAATTCGAGCAGATTTCTGAATAAAAATTTATTTATAGTTTTATGTAATATAAAATCCGATTTGAAGAATCGAAATAGGTACAAAATATATATCCATAATATATATTTTATATATATACGTTCCGATTCTTCAAATATTTTCTACTACATATAATTAGAATTTTACCTCGAAATCTGTGAAATTAGTGAAATGGGAGAAAGGGGCATCTTACTTTTAATCGGTAATTTACATTTTGATACCGTAACATCCTTGTTTATTACGCGATGTTGCTATTTACTTTCCGGCCAATGAACAATTTCTAAGGAGCGCTCAGGTCGTTGACAGATGAAAATCGAGGTCATTTTCTTGCAGAATAAAATATACCATCAGTCTTTTTTATGAGCAATTCTATGCTACTCATAAAAAGAATGTATTGTTTTATATCCTCTTACGACAAAGCGATTCACTATCGATATTAATTGTAAGTAACGCTTGAGTGGAAACCTCTCGTGCGTAAAGTGTTTCACTTGATACCATTTCGCATCCTGCGTTTAATCGGTTATCGGTGTTCGAGTTCTCATGTGAGTTATCGGATAATCTAGATGCCGTGTTTATCTGAATGTTAGAAAAGAAAAAAAAATATTAATTATATAGATGCGATGAAATATATGTACACTTCAAGAGATACGTTTGTTTCAGCGATGACTTTCCTGTCTTAATGTGCGTTTTTAATGTACGTTGACATTTTGCCAATCGAGAATAGAAATGCAAAACGATGTGTATGTTATAAAAATAGTTTGATATATTTTTTTAATATTTTTATAATTCTGACCATCGCATATTTTTTATTCATTTTGATATTTATATTTATATTAGAAAACGGAATCAATAAAATATAATGGTTAATGGGATCGAGAGCCAATGCCATTTTATTAGTTCTTGTGAGCCTTTTAAGATTTTATGTTATTAAAACAGAATCAGTTTTATAGAAGAAGTTTCTTCTTTTTGTAAAAAAGAATTTGTTTTTCTATATAAAATTTTTTAAATATTTTTCATAAAAATCTAATTGTTAAAATATTTCCGTTGTATAATCTCTTTTTATAATCTCTTATAGCTTATTTTTTATCGAAAAGTTTTCAAATTAGAATCTCGAAATGTCTATTTAGTGGAGTATCATAATTAGAACAATTCTGCACATATAACATTATGAATAAAATGTCGTGCTTATTATGTGTAGCTTTTACTTGTTTTCATCAAAGTATAATATTATATATCTTTTACATTTCTAATTTATTATATTTAACGCAATACGCATATTTTATTCATATTTTTTACAAAATATTAAAAATATGGGTGGATTCATATGTGAATCGTATTTATATTTTGCTGATAGCTACAATTAGTTTGATTGTCAAACATTTTTAAGCACACAATTGCATCTATGCATCACATATGTATATTACAGCATTTCTAACATTATTATACGTAGAACAATCAACGGCAATGTTATCATGTGTACTCATGTATTTATTTACCTTGTAAATAATTCGGCAAATGTAAATTTGCACATACATAATGCAACTATGATATTTTGTTAATATAATACATCTTTCAGATATGCACATTAATTATTATTCACGGGATTCGTATGTTCGATCAATATACGGGTCATTGTGTCGACAAATTAGAAATGGAAAATTTTCCCCACATTTTATGATCTCTATTACGGTTGCTATACATTATGTGAAATTAAAACTGTTATAAAAATCGTTCTTTGAAAGTATTATATGCGTATATAATTTGTAAAATAATTATAAAAAATCCAAGAATAATCTTCAATTCTTTCATAAATTCTATATTTTTTATCACAACATTCAATATCAAAAAATTGGTAAAGAATATTTTAAATGTTCTATTTATTTAAAAAATCATTATTTTAACTTGCAAAAATTATTAATTTAATTTGCATTTAATGCTGTTACTAATTTAATTTATCTTACAGTTTTTATGAGAGTAGAATAATAATTTTTTAAGACAATTATTATTTTAATTTTTCCATTCACAAAGTTATAAAATGCTTTCCTGCATGCAAAATCAAATTTTTATGTTTCTTATGTTTGTTAATGAGTATCTATTATTAATTGCATGCGAACAAAACGTTAGATAGCAATCTGTTTACGTAACTTTCTTGGTTGTTAAAGTGTAACTAAAATTTCTGTTTCAAGTAAAAAACTGTCGAGCAAAACGTATTTGTATGTGTAGCGATAATCGATACTAAAAAGCCTGAGGACAATCAGGCAAAGAATAAATCACCGTGTCGGAAACAACAAATACTTCTTTGAAGTCTACAAGAAGAGAAAGTGAGAAACGTTTACCTAAAAAGAAAAAGAAACTTCGATATTTAAAATCAGTCAATGATAAATTAGCGACAAATTCAAGTATCTTTACGATAAAAGTGATACATTGTCGAAAAGCAAAGCTTCTGCATTTACTCTTGCTGTGCGCTTTCACATCAAACTTTCGATTTTTCTTCCGGCATATTTTGGGTACTTCAGCGTGGTGTGAAAAAAAAAACATGCTCTTCCCTTTATACTCGATTAAAGAGAAAGCTTGTCATACTATTCATCCTTTCTAAAAGATCTGTAACGATCATAAATAGAATTTTTGGCACAGATATCCGTAATGTTTTCTATTCATTAAAAAAGTTTTTAGTTATTTTTACGCTCGAATATATATATTATCCTAAATTTGAATTTTTTTGCCGCATAAATTACTTAGAATTTCTCTTTTGGTTATTGATGTTTACAAAAAAAATTAAACTTTACACACATATACACAAAATATATATCTAAATAATAAATAATAAAAAAAATTTAAATATGACAGACAACATTCGATGGTGTCTCTATTATATATATGTATATAGAAAACAATGGAGAGTCGCAAGTTGCTGTCACATACATCATTTTTGTAAGATAGTGTTGGACATTGCGTGACCCAAAAAGAAACCCATCTTTATTTGTGTCAGATAACACTGAGATTAATGATGAGCATTATGCTTGAAAATATGACAGCTTTAGCATAGCGTATTGGTGGATATCTCACGTATACATTACATCCGAGAATGTAACCGAGAATAGAATTGACTCTTACCACGGAGACACGTACCTAACTGTAAATTTTGATGTAAGAACATTTATCTTTCTCATGAAACCAATCTGTACTAATTATCAAATGGCTTACTTTCAAGTAAGTATTTTTGAGAATATGTTTCATGGATATATTAACAATAATAATAATGCAGAAGGATACATTAATAATAATAATTACGCAGAACGATATAATCTACTTTTTAATCTTTTAATAAAAAAATTTCGAAAGAAAAAAAACTATTCTAATAACACTGCACTGTCATATACAAAATAATTTAATGACATAATCGACGTAAATTCAAGTTTTCCGAATGAGTTTAAATTTGAATTAATTTAAATAATTTCGAATTATTTATATTATATATAGTTTATCAGCCATCCACTGATCCTTCATGTTTATTCCTTTTGTATCTGCTTATATAGACAAGGGAAATTCACGGATGACAAGGAGAAAGTTCTCCTGCACATTTTTTCTAAATCATCCAATAAATTATAATATTTTTGTTTTGTGCCTGTTTTTATTTGTATAAAATTTATTTTTGAATGAAATCATGTGAGAGGTAACTTTTATAACGTAATACTCTAATGTAAATGTAGATCTGACAAAATGACAAGTAATAAATCATGAGCGCGTCGGCTGATATCAGCTATTAGTGTATTTTCAAATTCTATTATTCAATAATTTTATTGAACATAATTGCGCATAGCATTAGACAACAATTTAATAAAGTAGGATTCTTAGATCATTTATATTTTTTAACAAAGCTAAACTTTTCATTTAAAAAAATGCTAGAGTGTTTCTTCGTACATGAAAATGAAGTACTTGTTTGTGTAAATAGATTTTAAACAAGTAAGATAAATAAAAAATATAAGTGAGAAGACGATGTTTACATAAGTAAGTACGGGACAGAGTATAAATTTATATACACAATCTTGAAACAAAATAAAGATAAATAAAATACTATTTTACTTAATGATAATTTATTAGCAATAATTTCTTGGCATCTTGTTTATGTGTTTATGCAGAAAGTATGACAGATGCAGCCATTTTACAATTGTTAGAAATCAATCTGACACTTTGCAAACTTCACAAACTGATCTGAGACTTAAGAACCTGATCAATGAAGCAAATGCACGATAAGAGTAGATTATTGTTAATAGATTGTTTCTATGAGTTGTACATACATGACAAGACATGCTTTTGCTTTGCGCTTTTACTTTGTCATCGATGTTTTTGCTTCGCTTAGAAGTTGTCAGAAGTTTATTTTGCACTTATTGTTACGACTCAATTTGTTCTCGTTTACCTGGGACAGGTGTGAAGTAGATGATGGTCGTGACCACGGAGCCCAGACCAATGAAAATCCCGAATCTGAAGAGCATGATGTGTTCGGCGGGTCGGACCTGTTAGCCGAGAAGTTCTCGGTGCCGAGAGGCCGAGAGGCGCAAGAGTGTGGAAATGCAAGTGTTGAGAGTGCGGACTGGCCGGTGTCGTAGTCGCGAACACACTAGTTGCTCGGGCAAGTTCATTGCCAGGGAGAGAGTCGATTCCCGATTAAAAGAAAAATCCTTTGAATGTGGACGCGCTAACGTATACACCGTGCGCGGCCTCTCACACGACAAAGATCGCCTACAGAATGTCTCGCGGTAGTTGTTTACCTTCAGAACGATCTTGGCCCTTGTGATCCTGTTCTGAACTCTCTTCAATGTAGAATTCTCTTTCACTTCACCAGTTCTCTCTCGACAGCTTTCGGTCGATCTGTTTTTACATTTTTTGAGACGTGTCAAAGGAAATTAAGGACAAATCTTATATTATATGATTTGGCTTAAACCTTTACTGCAATGCACTAAAATCTTATATTTTAAACAAATAAATGGTCTATATTTCTAAAATATAAGATTTTATAAAGTTGTAAAGTTCTAGGCCTGCCAAATGATATGATATAAGATCTAAGACATAAAAATATACATATACATATAAAATGTACATTTTAACATTCATGTATATCTTATTTATTTTTATGCCTTAGAATTTTATATCATTTCAATTAAAATCTTATATTTTCTAGATCATTTTTTAATTTAAAGTATAAGATTTCAATGTATCGCAGCAAAATTCTAGGCTTGATAAATGATATAATATAATATAAGATAAAATGTACATTTTATTTATTTTTAATTTATTTAATTAATTAATTTTGTTAATTTTATTTATTTTTATGCTTTGGAATATCTTAAAATCTTATATTTTAGATAAAGAAATGTGTATAATTTTAAAATATAAGATTTTAATGCATTGTTATAAAGTTCTAAGCCTGCCAAATGATATGATATAAGATTCTAAGACAAAAATGAATAAAACATCCACTCATGTTAAAATGTACATTTTATACATGCCTTAGAATATTGCCTTACATTATTTGACCTAGAACTTTATAACAATGCATTGAATTTTATATTTCAGAATTCAAGATCATTTCTTATTCAAAATTTTATTTAATATTTTATTTTGTACATTGTATATTTATTGTTAGTAGTATATGAAGTATGTTTTCCAGCAAAGGACACAAGTTGACACAAATCGACACAAGTAGCACTCTGTCTTTGTTCGATATTCAATGAGCAACAGAGAGAGTAATATTTTTGTGTCGCTTGTGTCTCTTGGTGGAAAACTACCGAAATATGTCAATGAGTTGTACCACTGTGTTAATGTGCTTCGAGAAAGCATGGTGGCACTACTGTTGCTACAGTCGATGGTTCTGTTCATTGTCACACGAGTTATCTTGTACTGTTCCGTATATGCACATATGAAAAGAATATTTATTTTATTATGACTGAAGTCACGAATCTGAATTTCAACAAAATATATCCACACTTGGAGCGTGTGTTAAGAAATGCCAATTTCATAGCAATTGATACAGAACTGACAGGTATAGAAGATAATGAAAACAAAAATAGGTTAGTTTATCTGAATACATTCACTGTGATACTTCAATTAATGTTAATGTCACTTAACATATTTGTCATTGCAGTTTGTTCGATTCCACAGAGGAACGCTATGAGAAACAAAGAAGCAATATTCAGTCGTATATAATAATACAGTTTGGTATCTCTGCGTTTCAACGAGTACCGAATAAAAATGAATACACTGCGGAGGCCTTTAATTTCTTTCTGCTGCCTAGATCTATTCCATCAAAGAATAGACGATTTGTTTGGCAGGTTGCAGCACTAGAATTTCTGGCTACATATGGATTTGATTTCAACAAAGTATATTTTACTATTAATAAATAAGTGCTTTCAAAACAAGGCAATGCTATTTACAGCTTATGTTTGACAAATAAGTTATTTGAATTGATATCTCAAAGCAAGCCTAATGTTTAATTATTAGAAACAAACAATAAATTTATATTTCAAAATATTGCAGTTTGCTTATAAAGGAATTTCATATCTCAATGAGGTTGAGCATGAAATTTTACAAAAACAACTACAGGAGAATGTATTATTTCGCAATGTGGAAAGATCTGTTTCCTATAAAGAAGAAGATGATCTTAAAGATTATATCAATCAAGTAGCTGAATGGTTGAGCACAGCTGATGATGCAAGTTCACTTAAAATTACCACTTCTACTCCAATTCTGCAGTATCTTACGCACAAAGAATTGAGAAATCGTTTCTCAAATGTTTGGACTATTTCAGGAAATAATATGGTATATTAACTATCCTGCTTATAAGGAACAAAGATATTATTTGTTTCACTTTTTAGTCTCATAACTTTTCAGGTCACTGTGATGAAAATACCACCAGAATCGAGAGAAATGTTTGAACAAGAAGAAAAAGATTACATACTGGAAAATATTTTACTCGAATCATATATAGGTTTTTCAAAAGTATTCAAGCTCTTGGTCGCTTTAAAAAAACCTATAATAGCGCATAATGCTTTGTTAGATTTTATGTTTATGTATCAACAATTTTACAAGCCATTACCACGTATGTATAAAAGTACAACGATAAGCTTTTCATTTGCAACACATGGTGGATAAAAACTAAATTATGAACAATGCACCTTGCAGAAAAGTATATTAATTTCAAGAATAATATACATGAATTGTTTCCAACAATTTACGATACCAAATTTTTAAGCTTTGAACTGAGAGAACTTCTTCAAACTGAAGGTAATTAATTAAATGTTTGTGCACAATTAAAAGTACATTTAAAAGAAATATATTTTTTCTTTTTAGAAAGGTGGAAATCTAATTCTTTAAGCGGTTTAGTCGCCTATTTTACAGAAAAGCAACAAAGAAATATTATATTAGGATCACCTGCTATTAAACTCATCTCTCATATAGATTCAAAAAAATCAAGTGGTAAATATTTATATTGATAATTTGAGTTGGTGCAATTATCATTATTAATCTTTGCATTATAAAATTTTGATGATTTCAGTGATTGTACCTGCTGCAAAATATCATACTGCAGGTTGGGATGCCTATTTTGCCGGTTATGTATTTATCAAAATAGCTCATATATTTGCTAAAAAGAATTATACAGAGTAAGTTATATATAATCGATAATTGATAATTATTTATTTTTATTTTTAGTAAGCATATTTTCATACATTATAATATATAATTACAACGAATAGTGAGAGAAATAATTCTATCTTGTGATTCTAGATGTTCAACATTGCAACATTTCACACATACAGAATTAATGAGCGGTGTGAAAAGATTTTCAAACTGTGTAAATATCATTCGCGGCAATGCGTCACATTTGGTAAGAAAAAATGAGATTTTGTGAAAAGAAAAGTAGAATGCATGCTTTTATATACAAAATATTATTATACAAATTTCCTAGAAATTTGATGGACCTGAACCTAAATCCACTCGACCGCAGTGGCTTTATGTGAAAACGTTAGCTTCGAAACCAATCACTGCTTTGCAGGTATTATACCTAATTATGACGAATAAGTACAGTACAGTATTATCGGAATCTTAAATATTTTCTCATATATTACAGTATACAATATAAGTGTAAGGTGAATGATAAGTAATGAGCCTGCATTCTTATGAAATATTTGCACAGATAGCTGAAAAAATGTCGACATTCGGCAACGTTGACGTGAAGCAGTGCACATCAAAGCGCGTATTAGTCGCAGTTGCAAATCACGGGAGGTTAGTATTTTTATCAAATTTTTTTACTTTATTTACCGATATATTTCATACGTTTACACATAAATGACGAAAGAAAAGATGGTAAAAGATTACTATTGCATAAACTTTATATATGTAAGAAATAGGTTTCGTATATCGAGAAAAGGCAATTGCTGCCAACTGCGTCCGATTTCGAGATATCTGTGAAATATCATAATGCCGTGCATTATAATAAGTGTGGACAAGCACGAGAAATTAAGTTTTGCGGTAGATCAAAATTATCTTTGCTACTTTTTGACACTTTATTTATGAAATACATAATTAAATATTAAATATACAGTAGGGAGAGAAATTTATAATAGTGTGATGCTACTTCGCTGCAAGGTAGCGGAACTATTTTGGATGCTCTCCAAGGGCATGCATACAGAATGTATAAATCGTGATATTAGAATGCCCATATTTATATGGAACAATTATATTGCTCCGCACAAACATCTTCTGAAACGTGAAGTGAATCACAAAGTTACATAATGTCAGTAGTTATGAAATATTTTCGTAATTCTATTAATATAACTAAGATGTAGACCTGTGCTTGGCATATTTATCCACCTAAGGCTACTTGCATTTTTCGAATTTTAGCATTTCTGGAAAAATGTCAAGTGCGGTAACTATTTTTACTTGAAATTTTGAATTACTGAACATAATTTAATAGAAATGGAAATACTTGGTATATACATACTATATATCTCTCTCATCTGAGATATTTATCCGAACTAGACTTTACAACTGAGATTAATCTATCTATTTTATTGGCATGACGTTACATCGATGAATTATTACCATACTTTATATACCTAACGGCGAACTAGCAACAGGCGTTTCATCAAAGTTTATTTCTCCGGTCTGGTTGTACGACCGATTTGATAGACTGTGTTTGTCTAATTCAGATAGTCTGAAAACACAAACGGTTGAATATCGCCAATCCAGTGAATCAATTACAATTTGCTTATTTTCCAAAGACACCACAGGTGTTGAGACAACAAACGCGTTAAGTGTCTTACGGCTATTCGAGCGCTGCAGGTGTTCGCCTAGCACACCTTCGTATTTTCCGTTTTAATTGATAAAGTGAGATAATATTTTGCATCGCATATCGATTCATCATCATAGATACGATTGAACAAATTACATCTGTATTTTTAAACGTACACATTTTTTCTCTGTTTTTTTTAAAATAATTTAATTAGAAAACGTATGTTTTAATTAACGGATTTACGCCATTCAATGTTTTTATATTAATCCTTTACGATTCTAGATGAACTCGACATAGTTTTTTGGAAAATAATTGGAGCAGTATTATAATTATAATTTATACTATTTTTATAAAAATTTTTACATAATAAAATTATGTAAAATTATGATTATTATACTTATTTTAATCTGATAACATTAAGATATTTAATATTGTCTTATTCATCAAATTAATTCAGACCGCAAAGGGTTAAACTTGCAAAATACATTATCTCATGAAATAATTAATAATTTTGTGATAAATATTTTTTTTTTTTACGTTCTCATATCGAATAATTGATTCAATACCGTCATATTTGTACGCGTAAGATTTTCTTCGTCATTGGCACCATTCCCATCTTTATGTCGCTTTTACCAACGAACTTTTGCGGATATATTTACGGCACTTATTAAAAGATCACCACTGTCTACACCACCGTGTACATTATTATTAACAGTCTATTATTATATCCGCTGTGGCACACGTGTGCAACTTTTGTCACGCGAAATTGGCTTAACGCGTTATTACATTCACTTCGTCAAGCAGGATGATAGAAATTGTTGGATACGTCCTCATTTGTGACGCAATGACCAAAAACGATTTCCTTAATCGTTTTACAGCGCACGAGACATAATACAACACTTCAAACAAAACAAGGAGCTATATGTAGTGCCTTATAATCCGATACGGCACTCACCTTCAGTTCAATTCTTTTTATGGTACGTACACAAGGAAAAATAATATTTAATCGATACATGCTATAAAATGATATAATAGTTTCTGATAAGTTATTTTTTAAAACTAAACGCATAAAACGGAAATGTTCTTAATTTATATAAGTTGTGACCGGATTTATTTCTTATTTATTTGTGGCTATACGGTGCTTGAATTTGGAAAAAGATTTTTGCTGTTTTCGCGTTTACTAATTGTATTAAATTAGAAAGTGTAACAGAAATATCGCTACTTGCAAGTTCTTTATATATTCGATTTTTCCTTAATAAAGTCCAAGTATATTTTTATTGTTACAATAAAATATTCTTTTTACATCTATGATTTTCATATATTACAATTTTAAAGAGAAAGGTATCGAAATGTAAAGAAATTAAATATATAGAAGCTAATTTTGTATCATTAAAATCAAAATATTTTCGAACGAATGTAAAAATTTCCCAGTTTAATGACTTAAAAAGTAAAATACTGAACTATATATTTTTGTTGTTACAAATAAAAGTTACAAATAAAAGTTAATTTTAAATTAACTTTTTTAACAAAAAAGTATACTTGAAAGTTCATTTAAACGCTCTAAATAAAAATTAACATGTAATTAAATATAGATTGACTTCGAATCGATCGAAGAATTTAGAACTGCAATGAAGTGCGACATTTCTGAGACGTGTCTTGTTCTTACGCGCCGATTTTTCGAAACATCTCACGGTTTCCTAATTGGCATTTTAATCAGCGATCGATACGGATCGTTGAGGTCGATCCAATTTCTATTAGTGAGAAAACGCTGTTGAACGCATTACGTCAAACAAATTAATGGCTCTCGGCGGACCGAAGTCGTGTTCATGAAGTCTTTAATTAGCGTCAACATTGCCGTAGATGCAGAAGTCGCGATTTACGTTGCCAATTGTTGCGAAGGAACATTATGATGACGCGGACGACCGTCGTGTTACCTAACGCACTCGGGTGAAAGACTCGAACGAGACTCCTGCGACTTGTCGCTTTTCCGGTTATCTCGCTTCGCAAAATCGATATATCAATCCACGCTCGTCATTACGCGTTTCAAGTGCAGTGAAAACGTTATATTTAAACTGTCGATTTCGTGTCTCATTGCAAACGTATGCGTCATGTAACAAGACTTGATATTCAAACACGTGTTTGATGACTCGTAATCTTTATCGCGATAAATCTTTTATTATTTGTATGTATAATTATTTTGTACATGTTTTTCTAACATAATTGCTTTTTTTAATTGCAGGGGCAGCATAGTTCTTTCTAGCGGATTTTTTGCATGGATGCTGCATCAGAAACTTCAAAAAGGGACCTCTTAGGTGTGAACTGTAAATATTCTGTAGGATAGCATAAAGAAGGTACCAGTTTTGTTCACTTAGAAATATATTTTTTAGTTGACTTGATTTAAAAAAAAAACATGTGAAGCTAAACCAAATGTAAAGAATGGAAGATAGTGTGCAATAATGAAAGATAAAGTACAACAGTGTCAACAGCTCTGTCATAAAGCTCGACGTTGCTTTGTACCCTGAAATTGCAGCAAGATCTGCAAAAATGATTTCAGATTAATGCGCGAATTTGTTGTTGAAATTAAAATAGGTGATCGTGGAATACTTTACTTTATTAAAATACTATTTTCGACGAACAACAAGGTTACTCCTGTAAAATTAGACGAACAAAGCATATGACATTGTGATTCCGAGATACAGAGATGACAAGCATTTTACGCTTCGCCGCAATGTCTGTCGCCATTCTGTTTAAATTTAAGATTTAGCTCAGGGAGCGGAATCTTCGCGGGAATTGTTATTATTATGACTTGTGGCGAGAGCTCGAGGGTTCTAAGTCGGCGCAAGTTTAAAGCTCGTTTTCAAGTCGAGCAGGAAGTGTGCTCTACACGCACGCTTGCCAAAGTGACGTTCTTTCTCTCTCTCTCTCTCTTTCTCTCTTTCTTTCTCTCTCTCGCTCTTTCTTTGAAAAAATCCAATTATTCCCGTCGCGATCATGAACCGTCGATCGCCACGCGCACGTCCATCCATCATCTATGCTTCTTTTTTCCTCGTTGCTTCTCCCTTTCGCGCTTTTTCGTTATGGCTCGTCTACCTCGAAAAATCGTACACTTGTTACGTCACACATCACGCTAAGATTCCGCATCTGTATCCTCTGTCCGTATAAAAAGCGACATTTTTCTCAGCAACGCGCGGAGATTTATGTGCAAAAATAAATGAGGCAAACTCTCATAAATCTGTACCTTGGAATTTAACTGTTTTAAGTTTAAAAAAATAAATTCTTACATTTTTTCGCTGCAACGTCGCAAAGTGTATTTGCTTTTAAAGCCAAGGCATTGTTTTTTCCCTTTAATTTTACTTGAGAGAAAAGTCGAGTTTATTTCTTTATTATTTCTTTATTTTCATATTTTTGCAGAAAACTTTTATAATAAATTTAATTAGATTTTCTGTCGCTTATGAATACTTTGAGAGCAATCGAACATTTTTTTTAACAGTTGTTGTAACTTTTATATATCTAGTAAAATTGCGAGATTCCTTTCTGAAACCATTCATAAAGCATCCGGTTGCTCCAAATTCCTTAATCCAAGCTCCGGAGATATTTCAACTGCAACTGTGGAAAGGTTAACGTTAACGTTAAATTTAATTTCATTCCCATTAACTCTCCACTTCTGTTCAGAATTAAAATGCGAAATAGACAAAGTAAATTAAACATTAACAATGTTAAAACCGTAAAAGTGATACAAAGTATCCAGATACTAGTATTTTTCTCTTTAGGTATTGTTTTTACTGTATATCCAAATATTTTGCGGATTAAGCAATCTGAATGTATTTCTTTTCAAGTATCTGTATCGAAAATAAACTCTTTACGTCACTACTGTAAGTTACCGTTTACGTACAGCGTAAGTTATCACTGATTATGCCATCGATGCATCTTCCTTCGGTCGAAGTACTCTGTACTTATCACAATGCCGAGGAAGAGCCGCGGCGCGCGCTCCGCCGATATCGTCTGAAAAGTTTTCTCTGGCCGCGACCCAAGGCCAAAGCACTCGAAATAATGCGGTAGCAATTCGTGTGGGCGTGCAGCCGACCGGACAGTCAGCTTGGTCGCGCTGATGTCCGATGGTAGGTGGAGACTCTTCTCGGGATCAACCCCTCATTCCTCGCGCGTTGTCGCTCCGCGTAGACGAGGTAAAGGTCACCCGCGTAGGCTCGAACTTAGGCTGATGGAATTGGGTTAATCAAACTGCGAAGTTTTCTCTCTCAGCAACTCGTTTACTTTGTCGCGCTTCGCGCCGACATTACGGAATACCTCAAAGTTGGTTATACTTGCAATCGTCCTTAATCTGATTTCAAAGTAAAATAAACACTGGAAAGTGTGAAGTAAGACTACTTCGCGACATCGCAAACTTGATGAATGTTTCTTTATGCGGAAATTTTAAGAATTTTGGGTCTACATTGTTTCTGGAAATTAAATTTTTATAGAATTTATTGTTGCTTTAAATTTTAAACATACATTTTTCAATTTACTTATAAATTAGTGCAAGAAATGCAATTTTTTCATTACTTTACAATATTTAATATTAAATATTAAAGATAATTGTAAATATTGGAAATATAATATAATAAATGTAACTGTTTAAATTATTTTTAAGTTACAAATAAGTATTGAAGAAACTATTGAGATTTTATAATTCAATATTTGTAACATGTAATTAATCAAAAATTCAACTTTATATTCACGTTTCCGCTATTGTTGAATCCGATATTTTAATTTGATAACTGAACGAATTGAGAAAACCACATTGAAATGTCAATTTTGTGCGATTACCACATAGGCAGGTGCAATTTTGGCGGACGGTCAACGTGTACAAATACAGAAAATATAACGCTGATGTGGGCGGACGATATTTTTCAAATTTATAAAACGGCACTAGATCACGACACACGCAAGCGCGTTTGGCAGCCGTGCGTTATGCGTATCTACCGTGAAATAAAATTCATCCGGCGATCTTCTAAGAGATCTCTCATAATTTTCAACATACAGAAACATCCATCATACAAACATATCGCAAAATGTATCGCATGCGAGAATGCAAAATTTATTTTGCTGCCGTTACAATTTTTTGACGTGTCTTTACACATCATCGATCAACTCTAGTGATCGGGGACACGCCTTCTACGGGGCGTCTCGTGTTCCCTTTAGTGAGATACTAAAAATCTTTAATGAGATGCGGTAAAAAGAGTGACAATGTTGATTTAATTGATGCATTGAGAAAAATGTTCTGTTTGAGTCAACAAACCAATTCATATTTCATATTAATGCAACAAGATTCTGGTAGATTCAACCAGAATCTAATTTGATTAGCTCGTAATCAAACAGCTTGTTGAATCTACCAGAATTCCTATTAATGCAACAAGATTCTGGTAGATTCAACCAGAATCTGTCTGTTTCGTCGAAAATCGAACAGACGGTTTGTTGAATCGAAGAGAACATTTTTCTCAATATGATAAATATTTTTTATTCCAATTGACAATTACTGTTTAAATTGCGTGATGATGGATTGTCGATGCTGAATTTAATATAAGTATGTTTTAATAAAATTTTACTTCATCTGATCATCGATGATATTTGAAGTACAAAAATTCCGAAGAATCCTAAGTAAGAATTGGTCCCAAATTCGCCAAGGATTGCAAGACGAAAGACTATGAATAAGGGATACTTCGCATAAAACGATCTGTCTTAATATGTAACATGCTGAACGATGACGAATTATCAATTCAAAGTGGGACAAAGCCACGAGTATTAATGGAATTTCCCTGAAAATTGGCTGTCGCTCGACAATCCCGACTCCACCGAAAACAACGCGACTCCGTCCTCTTCGAGAGTATCCTCTCTCTGTCTCCCTCGTCCCTATTTATTCCGCGCGTTTGCGTATCCTTTATCTCTGTCACTCGCTCCTCTTCCTCTCTTTTTCTCTCTCTCTCCCTGCGACGGGCTCGTTACCGCTCGCTCGCCGCCCGTAAAATCGTATCTCGTGACTGCCAGAAATATGCTCTGCGAAGCCACCTATCCGTTCGCCTTCACCTATCGGTCCGGTCCCGCTCCCCAGGACGACGGGGAGGAATCGCCCAGCACCGTAGAGACGATTGAAAATACTCCGTCGCGGGCTCTTCCCTCGGCAGATTTCGAAATCCTCGCCTCGCCGTCGATGCGGTATCGCGCTGCCTGGCATGCCTTAGCACCTGTCGCACCGTCACCGACGACAGTGGAAATAGCCGTTGTACACAGACCGGCGAGCGGAGCCGCGCGCAATCACGCTGAGCGGCGCTGATAAGCGTGGGCGCGACGAGATGCTCTCTCGCCACTTACCGCGGCAATTAGAGAAAAAAAATGTGAATGATCTATTTTTCAGACGAGCGGAAAGAGATAAAAAAAATGAAAAACATCTATTTGTTAAACATAGATAAAATTAGTACTTCAAAAGTGCAGTTTACTACGAAATTTTATTTCAGGCTAATAAAAGTCAAGCCGCGATTGACGATGCGTGATTAATTTTATACGCCCAAAATTTTATTTAAAATTTCGGAAAAATTCAGATAGAGTTCTGAGTGTATAAAATTAATCTCGCACCCGCGCTTGGCTTTTGTTACCTTGTAATATAATTTTATTATAATATAATGACTGGAAGCTAAAGAGCCTTCACTTGTTCTTTTTTTGTTACGTTGTTATAAATATTTCTGGAATACAAAAGTGAGAACCCCGAAAAGGTATTTCAAGCCAAATTAGAATTGACGCTTGATTCCTTTTATACAAATGTCCTCCATTTATATTCGCCGCTGTGTCCGTTTATTTTCGAGAGGGATATTACATAATCTGCGGATTTGGTGACGTCCGCTGGATTACTGTGCATCCTCATTTCGATGTGCTTAGAAATCTAAACGGACACAACGGTGAGAGCCCCGAGTTCTTCGCGTTGCACCGCTCACAGTTCTTCGCGATGATGGAAATCGGGATGAAAAAAAATGAATTTGATTTCGCGTCAGTCAGACACGCTGAGATCTTCATAGACAGTTTCAACGGTTTCTTGTTCAGAAGTTCTCTACGACTATTTCGGTCCATAAGCTGAATCGCGGAAATAGCCTAGCCTAGCCCCTGGCCTAGAAGAGCGTAGGCTTGACCGGCCGTAATAGCGGCTTTCTCAAGGATCCTTCGGGTCTGTCGCGTTCTCTCCGTATAGATTAGAGAGCATAGATTATCTCGAACCCGAAAGGGTGATTAGATTAAGCTCTCGGGAATAAAATAATTAATGAAAACTCGACAGTAAAATGATAAAGAAAGCTAAAAGAAATAGATAGTTTTGACATATTCCAGATAAACATATTTTTAAAAGCACACAGTTTCTATAAACAATACAAGTAAAATTAATTATGAAATGTATTGAATTTAATAATGGGCTGCTATAAATTATTTTTGTCATTATTATACAGAATATGACAGGTTTGTTATAAGAACATCGTGAGTTGTTTAGTTGTAAAAAATGTTTTATTCTAAAATAGGAAAATTTTCTCGTTTTTCAGGTTTTTTTTTAATTATTTTCCACTGACAACATATATCAACTTAATATGTCTTTAGAGTTTGCCTCGAAAGTGATTTCGCATGCTATTTATGATTTGCAACACATTTTTTTGCTAGTAACGATAATTCTTAACATTGTAATATTATAATTATTTCATAACATCTTTATTGCATAGTCAACTGATAATTACATCTCCCGAGATTGCGTTCAGAAATAATCTCACGTCTGTCTGTATGCGCGAGTTAGCAAAATTATAAATACTTCGCGTACTCATCTCGCTCAAACGCTCTACGTTCGTCGAATAGAAAACATTTTTCCTAGCTTTTGGGCATGTCAGAATGAAATATTTCGCATCCGTGCATTTAATGTTTAATTCGTAGCGATATAAAAATAATGTTACATTAAGAATAATATAAACAATAACAATGTAAATCTTATTTTGCTTATTGTTATTGGGATATTCATTTTTTATCGAATAATAATTATTTTTTAATTACAAGTGTGGATTTAACATTTGAAATTATAAAGAGAAAAATTAATAAATCCAGAGAATAAATAAAAAAAAGTTATATAAGTATACATTTTTTTTAAGAAAACATATTGACTTGATATCGACGATTATTGAATAATATATGAGGAGGAAATATGTTTATTAATTATAACAATAAGTCGGAGTTGACACTTTCAGCGCATATTTTTATCACCCTTATATCGTACGTGTAGCTGACACCCCTTCACATTACATCTTGAAATTCTTTTCCTATTATTACATAATGCATCTTTTGCATGCCCTTAAGAGGATAAGCCCACTTTGCCCTTTCCTATGGCTTTAAGATCCTATCTGCAAAGATGAACCTTTATTAACAATAAGCCGATGAAGCACGACAACGCATGTAAACTTTCAACATAGGTTCTTGTATTTATTATGTGGCTAAAATCCGATGATTGTGTGAAGCGCAGCCGTAAAAATCGTATTCTGTATTTAAAGATTAACCATAATGATGTTTGACAGACTGAAGGAAATAAGTTGAAAGCGTAAAAACGTACGCAGAATGTTCTGTAAAATCGCAAAAGATCGGGAAAGGGCTGGAGAAATCATAGAATGTAGAAATCGCATCTGCAAATCTGAAATGACCATCAGATCGGCTCGTCATCTCCACGCTTCGCTTTTGTCCGATCCGTCTGAAGACAGCACAGACGGTGATGTGATCTCACGGTGCTCGTTATCGGGATCGGCAGCCCGATAACTCGCGCCGTGGCACGGTCGCGCACACTCGCGCGAAGCCCAGCGCCAAGCCCGGCC